AAAAGAAGATTTATGGCTTCTAGCTGTGTCACGTCATCTCTGTCACGTTATGTCACATCATCTCTGTCACGTTATGTCACATCATCTCTGTCACGTTGTGTCACGTCATCTCTGTCACGTTATGTCACATCATCTCTGTCACGTTATGTCACATCATCTCTGTCACGTTATGTCACGTCATCTCTGTCACGTTATGTCACATCATCTCTGGCACGTTATGTCACATCATCTCTGTCACGTTATGTCACATCATCTCTGTCACGTTATGTCACATCATCTCTTGTTTCCAAGGTCAGAGATACTTAAATCTTCGTTTCAAAGTCCGTAGATTAAAAGCGTGATTTCAATAACTCTTTGGATTATCAATTTTTTTTCCAGTTAATTTTTTCACATTTCTACTATATTAAAACTATCCGAAAAATGTCAGCTTTTTAATCGGCAACGCGAAAATGTGGAGTTATAATTAAAAGGTGTTATTAAAGAATTAAACAGGAACTAATCGAAAAAAGTTAACCTACTTGATTCGAAAATAATGAATGAATGTCATATATACTGATAAACAGCACCACAATAGTCGAGATTACAAGTTTTATTCTAGTTATTTAGAAAGTTTCTTGTCAACAAAAAAAGCAGTGAAGCAGTCAATAATTTTCTCATGTATGCATCCTATTTAACAACTGCTGCTGGGGGTATATGTCAACAATAAACTGTATTATAAAGCAATATACGCATGAAGCAAATATAGTGGGATAATATGTCATTAATAAACTGTATTATTAGACAATATAAGCATGAAGCAAATATAGTGGAGTATATGTCAATAATAAACTGTATTATGAGGCAATATACGCATGAAGCATATATTAAGGCAGGCCTACAGGAAAGTAAACACAAGGAAGGGCTTAGCATTTATTGGTTGCATGACAAGGATACATGATACATGAGGGATGATCATATTATTGGCGGATGCAAACTATGGTACACATTTTCGATTTAATTCTATACAAATATGGTGTTCACAATCAGAGATAAGTACGGGGATAATGTACAAATGATCGTATGACATGTGCGAAGTTTAGCTAACATTCTGGTCCCGGTGAACCTATCACTATCATTTACTGCTTTAAATTGACAACTCTTCAAGTTATTATCAAGTTTTCAGCAACGTACATTATCATTATAATTATTATTTCACTATTAACACCATGAATTTCGAAGCAAATATCATAATATCAACGACAAGTGACCAACCAGTGACCTGAGAGTCACTAGATGCTGTCAAGGTTGGGTAACTAGTGACCTGAGAGCCGTTAGAAGCTATCAAGGTTGAGTAACTAGTGACCTGAGAGCCACTAGATGCTATCTAGGTTAGGTACTAGTGACCTGAGAGCCACTAGTTACTAAATACAGCGTTGTAGTGCGCTATGTTGTGTAGAAATATTTCTTAAGCGAGCGCATGGGCAGGGAAGTCAATATCAATGTTATACAACATCAATAAATACTTTTATAATATAGATAGGATATTAATGTAATATATCATTGATACAATATATAAATAACAAGCTCTTCGCATCATAAATTACTGTAACTACTTTAGGTTAGAGTACCACAACAATAGTTACCAGCCATAGGCAATAGACATACATCACAAGTGGTAAATGCTGTACTCTGCTTATGGTTCAACCAGAGTGATGAACAAGCGTTGAATGCATAACCTGTTATAACTCTAATTTAACTGGAATTTTTACATTTTAATCTGTTGAATAATATTTCTTTTTAATCATGCAGGGATACAAGGAATACAACGAATTTATTTGAGTTCTTAAGATTACAATTGCTTTAATATTAACAAATTTGTTCAGTAATGTTAAAATAGACCAGGTATTTGCACAATAGATGACATCACCTTACGAGATATAATTGATGAGATACGCTAATAATATAATATGAAGAAACTCAGCAAACATTGCCACTACAAATATTCTTTTGCTGGTAGATCTGGTAGACGTGTGGTAGATGATTGGTAAATAAATTACAAGAGAGCAACTAACATAAATTCAGTTTGATTCAAGTTATTGTTGCCTCTTCATATTTTGGAAAGAAAATGTATGTAATTCCTCGCAGTTGTCATTAATAATAATCAATATTCCTGTAATAGTTGTTTTTAGCCACGCACTTGACAGAGGTAAGTTAGCAGTAAGGTAAAAATGAAGATATATCCCCCTGAAATAGCAATAATTTTTAATTTTTCAATTCAAAACACTAGGAACGAATTTTTAATCGCAGTTTATTGCCCAACGAGACAGCGGCTGCTGAACAGCCTGACATGTTTGCGGTGCTAGCGAACTGTCACGCTAATAAATTATTAGGATGTTAGTGCACGCTAATACATTATTAGGATGTTAGTGCACGCTAATAAATTATTAGGATGTTAGTGCACGCTAATAAATTATTAGGATGTTAGTGCACGCTAATAAATTATTAGGAAGATGATGTTGATGGGTATTGATGCTGGGAAAAAAAGCTAAGTTTTGACGCTAGGTATAATATGAGTATTTTCATTGAAGATCCTCGAAATAGGCAGTATATGAGGCAAGGATATTATACTGTCCTTATATTATTCTGAGAAGGTGCCATGCTGCACTTTTATACACTAAGGTTTCAGTATACGTATATTACAAATATCCTGCGTTACGTTACATGGCATACAAAAATAATTACGAGATGCTTGGTATACTGAGATGACCTGGATATATATAGCGGACTTTGTGACACAGCATTTGAGTAATAAATTAAATAAGATACTTTAACGGCTGAGATACCGGGATTATATATACGCTGAGATGCTCAGTACACTGTCACACACAGTGTACCGAGACTATATATACTGAGATGCTCAGTACACAGTTACATACAGTGTACCGGGATAATAAATATACTGAGATGCTCAGTACACTGTTACATACAGTGTACCGGGACTATATATATACTGAGATGCTCAGTACACTGTTACACACAGTGTACCTACATTGATGAGATATTTTGTACATTGTTGCAGCCAACGCGCCTAGAATAGTAATAAACTGAGATGCTATGTACATTGTACACAGTAACTCCTATTGAGATGCCTGTTCTTTTTCAGAACAGTTTTCTTTTCTAAACATTTAAAAGCAAAGAACAGTCCACAAAAATTCATATCTATATAAAAAACGTTTTGGAGACCGACTCTGTGGACTCCGAAACGTTTTCGGACTCGAGCTTCCGGAAGCTGGACTCCGAAAGATATGAATTTCTATGAAGTAAAGATAAAAATATATATCTTTATATAAAATTCATATCAGTATATATTCTATAAAGATAGTAATTTTTGCGAACTATTCTTTGCTTTTAAATTTTCAGTAAACTTGCGATTAAAGTAAACATGTGACATATATTCTTTACTTTTCTTTTCGTATCAGAATTTCCTGAGTGACTAAAGACAAGAAGAAATGAATGCATCATGAATGCCCTTGTAGTTACGCTGGTTTCAAACACATGCCCTGATTTCCCATTCATACAGAATTTTGTTCAAACGTTGAGCGCTTTGATTTTGTTGCAGAAACATTTAAGAACTTTAAAGAATAAAGTTCCTACATCGAATCATTTTCTTGGCCTCAGCCAAAACTCATACAGCCACCATCACCGCACCTTGGCATATCGAACGGCTTTTGATCAGATTTTTTTTTGTAGCACCAAATGATAGTTTCCACAGATGGACCCCTCTATAATACCTCACATTCAATACATTACAAAACTTTAGATTTATTATTCTATGATTGAATAAATTACGAAACGTGCAGAAAAAATTTTCTAAGTTGAAGTCAGTTTATTGTCACGTCTGTCATGCCTGACACGTCATATGATTATTGCTGCGGCGCAATACGACTGTTAGCTTCGCAAAATTTGCATAAGATTTTTTCTAAGTCTAAATATGTTGAGAATTATAAATGCATCGCAATGATTAGTTTCTATGAATTCGAAGTGGCTACAGAGCTGGAGAAATAATTTTTTTAATCAGACTCGTCAACATATAAACAATTTCTAATTCGCAGTAATGTAACCCTGCTATAATAAGCGTATCATTATAATCTTTCACATTTTTTAATGATGATATCTATTCAGTCGTGAAAAAGCACCTGATGATTATGAGAGCCTGTATTCCCCATTTGCTTGAAGGCATCAATGCTTGTTTTTTGACTCGTACAAGTTTATTTCTATCGATTATGAAGCATGAATCTTCCTCCAGTGAATCACATGTAACGCAGTTGCAGCGGCACCGGCATTTGAGCCTTGGAAGCTCAGTTCGTTTCTTAGTGTCGCTGGTGAGCGGCGCTTAATTGGTAGCCGTCAATGGGTGGTGCTCTCAGCATGGCCATGGATTGGCATCTCTAAACGAACTCTGGGTACTTGTGACGTGGGGCGATCTTAAAATCTTGAGGTCAAAGTATGGGCCATAAGTTTTGTGATATTTCTGTCTCAAGATAATCCTGAGTTAACACGGTTTAAGACCGCCTTCAGTGATACTCTTGCTGTCCATGGGAAGCGCAGTATCATTCAACACAGTTTAGTGGCATATACTTTTATATGCCTTATTCAGTCTTACAGCCATTTGCGAACATTGGACTATAACGCCACAAATAATTCTGAATTTCATCTTCATAATGATATTCTTGCTTTTACATAAGATGTTCATGTTCATTATCGTGCTTCTACCCAAAAAGGTCGAAGCCTAACCTCTGAGCTGCAGTTTTTGCTCTGGTCGATCAAGAACGCTAAGGAGCTGAAGTCCCGTATTGACATCATCTCTTCATTATATTCATTAACTATTCATTTTGGAACCCAATTTTATATCGCACACAGGGCAAGATAAAGCCTACAATAGACAATATTCACAACTATTACTTGTAATATAACGAGCATTAAATATCAAGCAACTACGCGTACTAAGGACACTAACGATGCTACGAAGCAGCGCTCTGTCCCTGTTGTACTGTAGTCTGTCCCGACGTCTGAAAACGTTCACTGTTCATCATTTGTCGTTCGTCATCACCATCTTCATCTTCATCATCGTCATCGTCATCATCATCGTCCATCAATGATGACCCGCTAAGAGAAACAGGGTCGTCCCCTACGGTCAAGGCCGTGAAGTCGTGCGGGAAGTCCTGAGGGAAGGATAGGCCGACGTACGTAAGAGAGCCGGACTCGATGTTCGAGTTGCTCTTCTTGAGGATGCTTTTGGGGGGCGTGAGGTGTTGGGATGATGGGGATGAGGAGAGCGGGGTTGAGGTTGTGGCCCGGCCCAGGCTGCCGTAGGAGGTGAGGTTGTCGGTGGTGTGGTGGCGGTTGGCGAGGGTGAGGCGGTGGCGGCCGCGGACGCTGGAGCTGCGGTCGCGGCGGTTGAGGCTCGACAGTGTCGCCCGCGTTGACTCCAACTGGGGGCGGATGGTGGTGGGGATGAGTGAATAGGTTGGGGGAAGGGGAAGATAAACTGCCTATCTAACAGAGAGAGGGAAAGGAAGGGGACAGGACAACAGGTGTTAATTGGTGAGACAGATGAAGAGTAAATAGGTTGAGGGTGAGAGGGAACTAAATTGTTTAACTGACTCAAAACTGGAAAGGAGGAGAACGATAAGCTGGCGGCGGGAAGAGAGGGTGCTTGGAGGATCGGGAGGGGCTAAATGTCAGGGATAACTAGAGTAATGCCATTCAGGAATGGCATGAAAAAAGCAGATGGTACAAGAAGAATGAAAAACTTTGATGTCGTAAGGTTAGAAATATAAAGGAAAATTATATAAGTGCAAAACAAATGATGCGTGAATGTGAACCCCACAAAACCAGGAAGGGCAGTTCAGAAGAAAATCAGAAGGACAAATTTCATCTGGCAAATAATCGCCAGATGAAGGAAATATATAACTAAACTAGAGCAAAGCCAAAACTTCGTTAAACCTGTCGGCGAGAGATATCAATAAATTTTGACGACCTCCTGCTATTAGCGCAAAGTCATTAAAACCTGTTCTACGTGAACCACATAACCTGCCCTCATCCCTCAGTATGAGCGGCACAAATTACCCTCGTTTACCCTCGCTTCTGGCCTGCCATCATCCCTCATTATGAAAGGCACAAATTACCCTCGTTTTATACTCGCTTCTAGCCTGTCATCATCCCTCAGTATGCGGCGAATATTACCCTCATTTTACCCTCGCTTCTGTCCTGCCATCATCCCTCAATTTACGCATAAACTACCCTCGTTTACCATCGCTTCTGGCCTGCCCTCATCCCTCAGTTTACGCACAAACTACCCTCGTTTACCCTCTTATCTGACCTGCCCTCATCCCTCAGTATGCGCACAAATTACCCTCGTTTACCCTCACTTATGGCCTGCCATCATCCCTCATTATGAACGGCACATATTACTCTCGTTCACTCTCGCTTCTAGCTTGCCCTCATCCCTCAGTTCACGCGCAAACTACCATCGTTTACCCATTTCTCAGTATGCGGCACAAACTACCCTCGTTTACCCATTTCTCAGTATGCGGTAAAATTACCCTCGTTTACCCTCTTATCAGACCTGTTCGAGCGCCACGCGGCAGCGCTCAGCAGCGGCCGCAAGTTTGTCGAGCTGGCCCCGCGCGATCCTGACGTTGAAGGCGAAGTTTTCCCGCGCCTTGTTCGCCTTCTTGCCCCTGACGCCTGAACTGAGCAGCAAGGCGTCCAGCTTGTCGTACAGCTGCAGCGCAGGCTCCAGGCACGTCTGCAGATCCTGCTGGTCTGTCTTTACCGTCGCCAGGAACGTCTGAATCTCCTGCAGCAACTGTACAGACAGTCAAAGATATATGACAGTCAACTCTGCTGTACGCAGTTGTTCATATAGAGCATGACAGTTGTATGCGCAGCTGTACAAACAGACAAAAGACAGTCATGGCTCCTGCAGCAACTGTACAAACAGATATATCATAGTCATAACTGCTGCACGCAGTTGTTCATATAAAAGCATGACAGTTGTATGAGCAGTACAAACAGACACAAAACAGACATGCAGGCATTATATTATACCAATAATAATATATTGTACGAATAAAGCTGACACAAAGCCGCTAATTTGCGCGCTGGGCGAGCTTAGCGCGTCGCTAATTCAGTAGCTAACCACACTCCCAATTCCGATAGGGGCCCGGGTATTTGATCCCTCTTTGTTAAGTATTCCAATCCAGTCCGGTAATCGTACAAATTATGAATATAAGATATATGACCTACTACATTTACATAGCATTGCTATTAACCGATATTTTGGTAACATTACCGGTCAAAAGTACAAACCAAGACAATAGTGTGTCCTCTAATCATTGAGCGAGCTATATATCGGAATCGCTTTTTATATGTCAACAAAACCGGACATGAAAAATGCCAACCACGTTAGGGTTAGGGTTAGGGTTAGGTAAGGGAAGGGTATCTATAAAATCCTTTTTTTAGGCAGTCCTGTTGAATTTTCTACACATGTTAGGTCATGCTAGGTCAAGTTTGCTTTTTTATATTTTTCTTGGATTTAAAAAAGGCGTGCCAAAAAGTGTTTGGTTTTGTGGAATTATAAATATATACATAACTATTTGAAGTAGTAATAATTCGCAATGACGTGACTATGATTAGTTGACATTTTCAAACAGCTAAATTAATAAAAAACTTTGCGATCTGAACGTAACCTCAGTAAGATCAGGATTAAAAAACTTTGCGATCTGAACCCAAAACCCTATAATAACGAGGGTCGCGTATAAAAAGCACGTGGCAGAATTAAGTACATGTCGCACTAATGTATAGAATATAATTAAATGTGATATAGCACGACGCGTTTTTCGTCGCACAATTATTGACATGAAGTTGTGGATTTTCATCTAAATCTTCGAGCCATCGCCAGATTTATTGATGTTTACATATGTGATATACGTACCATATAATAATATAATGTACGAAATAGTGTACATGCAAAAAAATCTATACGATAAACTATATAATAATATAATATATTACACTCACTTGGTTGAGTGCGGTCTCCAGCCTGTGGAGGTGTGGGGGCAGCGGGCCGGGGGGGCGGCGCTCCAGCACCATCATCTGCACACCAATGATGATGATGATGGAATATAAGAGATGATTAATAATAATGATAATAATAATAATAATAATAATAATACTAAGATGACGATGGTATATAAAAGATGTACATTACGCTGTCAGAACGGTAATGTAACAAGAGATATCAAAGTGATGTTATTTAATAACCCTAATGAAATTGAATCATTAGCAGCGCATATGCTCCATAACGGAGCTACTGATCATTTAGCCGAAATATGTATTAAATAATAGCTATAAATAACACGTTAATACTCTACTGACATGGAACCCGTTGGGTGACAGTCCCCCACTCACCCCGTCATGGCGGGTGACAGTCCCCCACTCACCTCGTCATGATGGGTGACAGTCCCCCACTCACCCCGTCATGACGGGTGACAGTCCCCCACTCACCCCATCATGACGGGTGACAGTCCCCCACTCACCCCGTCATGGCGGGTGACAGTCCCCCACTCACCCCGTCATGGCGGGTGACAGTCCCCCACTCACCTCGTCATGATGGGTGACAGTCCCCCACTCACCCCAGATGTGTATAAGAGACAGGTCATCATCCCTCATTATGAAAGGCACAAATTACCCTCGTTTTATACTCGCTTCTAGCCTGTCATCATCCCTCAGTATGCGGCGAATATTACCCTCATTTACCCTCGCTTCTGGCCAGCCATCATCCCTCAGCATGAACGGCACAAATTACATTAGTTTTTCCCTCGCTTCTACTTTGTCCTCATCCCTCAGTTTACGCACAAACTACCCTCGTTTACCCTCTTATCTGACCTGCCCTCATCCCTCAGTATGCGCACAAATTACCCTCGTTTACCCTCACTTATGGCCTGCCATCATCCCTCATTATGAACGGCACATATTACTCTCGTTCACTCTCGCTTCTAGCTTGCCCTCATCCCTCAGTTCACGCGCAAACTACCATCGTTTACCCATTTCTCAGTATGCGGCACAAACTACCCTCGTTTACCCATTTCTCAGTATGCGGTAAAATTACCCTCGTTTACCC